AACCTGTCATCCCCCAGCACTCCCAGGTCCCTCTCCGCAGAGCTGCTCTCCAGCAGGTCCGCCCCAAGCCTGTACTGGTGCCTGGGGTTGTTCCTCCTCAGGTGCAGGACCCTGCACTTGCCCTTGTTGAACTTCATCAGGTTCCTCTGCGCCCAACTGTCTCAACAAGTATTGCCATTTATTATGACAGGGACTATGCTGTCTTGGTGATACCGTAGAGTAAATAAAGGGAATGCAACTTCTGGCCGTGGTCTAAAGCTCACCTCTCACCTTGACATACCAGCTCAATCAGGTGGTCAAGTGCAGTACAGGATCCCATTCTGTAAGGGGATTATCCATAGCCTGGGTAATGAAATGTGACCTAAAATGTAAGCAGATGCTTCTTAGTGCTGATTAATGTGGGGTTTCCAGTGCTGTAGCAAAGATGGGCATGTTGTGGGGGGAAAGAGGGTGTGTCATCCCTGTAATAAATAGCTTTGCTTGGATAACTTCTGTGGAAATAAAAATGGGGTAGGAGGAGGCATGAGTTGTGGGTATGGAGAGTCAGAGTTATGGAAAATAAGTTCTATTGTCTGAGTGAAGGCTTCTACAGGTATGATAAACAGCAATGCAGTGAGTGGTTTTTGTGCCACAGACTGCTCTTTGCCCTCATTCTGGCAGCGATGGGCTGTTTGGAATGGTAAATTTGGGGTGATTTGATGGTCAGTTAATTTTGGTTGGAGGAACAGTAGATTGCAAAAGGGGAGTGTTGGCTCTGGGTAACAAGTACACTGTCGTGGTTTAACCCGGCCGCTGCTCACTTGCTTCCCTCCTGCAGTGGGAGGGGGAGGAGGATGGACAAAAAGTAAGACTTGTAGGCTGAGATAAAGACATTTTAATAAGACAACAAAGGAAATAATGAAGAATATGCAAAACAGTCGATGCACAACACACTTTTTCTCACCACCTGATGACCAGTTGCGCACCCAGTCCCTGAGCAGCGATCATGGATTTCACAGAAAAGGGTTGAACTCACAGAGAAGTGTTTCTGCCTTCCCCCTGCCAGCCAGCCCCCATTTATGTACTGAGCATGATGTCAATGGTATGGAATATTTGCATTGGCCAGCTTGGGTTAGTTGCCTGGCTGTGCTCCCTCCCAGCTCTTGTACACCTGCTCATTAGCCGAACGTGGGAAGATGAAAAAAGTCCTTGATTTCTTAGCAACAACTAAAAACATCAGTGTGTTATCAACATTCTGCTCATACTAAATCCAAAACACAGCAGCTACTGGGAAGACAGTTGGCTCAGTTGGCCCTGCCCCAGCCGAAACCAGGACACATCTGAGGCCACCACGTGGTACAGAACATACTGGTTAGACGTCCTCTGACCAAGAGTCAAAGGCGTGTTCCATAACCGGTGGTGGGGTGAAACCAAATGTTGGGTTATTTGTCCTTTCTCATTACAGAATATCTCCTGCACGTGTGGTTTATGTGGGATTTTTTCTGTTGCACAGGCTGTAATATAGCTGTTACTCCTAATTGCTGTGTTCTGCCAGTTCCCCTCCTCTTGGAACCTAAAGTCAGTGTCTCTTGTCTGTTCCTTGACTGGACCAGTATAAATCCCTCATGAACCATCCCTCATGAACATACTACGTAGACCCTCGGCCTGGCCAGTCATAGTACCCTCATCCACATGTCCAGTGCAGCTTTTTTTCTGAACTTTGGAAGAAATGTTGATGAAGCTTGAGGTTCTGGAATGTCTTTCTCAAAAGTCACCAGTAGGCTTGAGCTACAGCTGCACTGGGAGTCCACTGAGTGCCACTTCTTAGGAAATCTCAGGCTCGGAAAGGATTAACAGGTACCATGGCCCAGCTTGGCTTCTGCTGCTGGGTGAGAATGGCCTTGGTACCAGTTCAGGGTTTGGGGGATTTCTTTTTTCTGCTGCTACGATTGTCATTCGGCTTGTGCTGGACTGGTTCTTGTATACACAGTTTTATTCCCCTGTTCTGTCGGTCTTTTCAGAAATGGGACTCTGTTTTGTGCAGGTTTCATACGGAGGTGGTGCGGGTTGGTGCTGGGCAGATTGGCGTTTCGGGGTGGCCTGACACCGCGTGTGGGTTGGTGAAGATGTGACACATCCTTGGAGTAGCTCAATCTCACTGCTCTGAGAGTAGATTGTGTTAATACTGAGTTGAAGCCTGTTCTGAGCGCAGATTTCAGTCGTGGGATTCAGCTGGCACAACTGGTTTGAAAAGGACTCCGGCGTAAGCTCCCGCTAACATAATAGTGTAGTTATAACCACAGAAAATAGTTAACCCAGAGTTATAATGAACTTTGGTTTTCTTATTAATTGTTCTAAGTGGATAGCTAATAAGTCCACTCCTTCTTAGGAGGGGAGGAATTTTTTTTGAAGCAACAACCTGATTTTCTTTTGAGAGTTCCCTTGTAAATGGGTCCGTTCTGCCATTAATGGGTGGTGAAAAGGCAACAGCGAGGACCGTGTTATCTTTTATAGTTGTGCTGTTCTGGTGGCTGTCATATCCATGAGCAATAGGGACGTAAAACCCTTGGAATTTGTTCAGTGACAGTCTGTAGATTCTTTTTGTTTAACCTTCTTGCAGGTGAAAAAGGAATTGGCAAAACAACTGGAAAGAAGCTGTGTTACAAAGGCACTACGTTCCATCGTGTGGTTAAAAACTTCATGATTCAGGGTGGGGACTTCAGCGAAGGTAAGATGCACTTTTAAAGTGTTTTAAATGGAAACATTTAAATGAAAGTGTTTTAAATGGAACAAAAAAGTTACAATTTGTGTGGTTATAATGTAACTTTAGAAGATGCCATAAAAAGACTTTTTGCTGTGAAGTGTAACATAGATCACCCATTTCTTTGTTAATTTTTGAAATTCTAAAATGTGTTAACTGAAGTAATATTTGTTTAGAGAAATGTGGTAAGAAGAAAAACCCTCACTGGAGCTGATAACACGTATCTTACTAAAACAATTCAAATCCAGTTTGTAGCCTTAACTGCTTTTCACTTTTGTGTCTGCAGTAGAGGCAACGCTAGTAATGCTTTATTGATACAGGGACATAACTGTTTGAATACATTTAAAAATAATAATAAAGTAGTGAATGAGCTAGAAGTGTTCAATGGATAAGTCTCTAAAAGGAGATTTTCCTGGAGTTTTTGTTTCCTTCCCTGCCATGTGTGTACAACGTAATGTTTTAACCTGTTGTCCTTCCCTGCAATACCTGTCCTCACCAAAATGTGTAGCGTCTTTGCTCTGTCCTGAAGTTTTGTACCTGGTTAAACAGACGCGGTGAGGGAACGTCTTCTTTTCAGGGTCAAGCAGAAGTAAGGGTGCCTTTAAAACTGCGAGCTACTTTCTCATCTGTTCTAGTGGTCTCTCGGCTACTTTGAACCGGGCAAGATTGTTGGTTGTACCTACTGTTGTCTTTTATTTTTCTTTTTTTTTCTTTTTTTTTTTTTTTTTTTTTTTTTTTTTTTTTTTTTTTTTTTTTTTTTTTTTTTTTTTTTTTTTTTTTTTTTTTTTTTTTTTTTTTTTTTTTTTTTTTTTTTTTTTTTTTTTTTTTTTTTTTTTTTTTTTTTTTTTTTTTTTTTTTTTTTTTTTTTTTTTTTTTTTTTTTTTTTTTTTTTTTTTTTTTTGCTTGCTGTTATTTTGCTCTCTGCTGCTGCTTTAGCAAATACCGGGGAGGACTAGCCTTTGGAGCCCTGCTTCAGACTTTCCAGCGTTCAGGGGCAGTAAGGCAATCATCATTCTCAGTAGTTTGAGTGTCAAGAGGATAACGCACGGCTGTGACTTTTAATTAAGGAGCTTATGCTCAGATGCTAGTAACTGCCCAGAGTATCCTGGTTTGTTAGAAACTGGTGGAATGTTACATACGGCTTATTTTGATAAACGAAACAAAAGGTTTAATTCGTGCTTTTTAATGCATAGGTAATGGAAAAGGAGGTGAATCAATTTACGGTGGCTATTTTAAAGGTAAGAGGAAATATGTCTTTGCGGATTCTTTGTTCAGTTCTGAGATAAACAGTTTTGATTCCCAAGCTACTTAATGCAAACAGGTCTACTTATAGATCACCTTTTGCATGAAACTAATGTTGCATGAGAATTATTTTTATATGCATGACTTTCAGATAATTTTTTTTGTAATATTTAACTTTAACTGACAATTAATTAAGGCTAACATTATTGGTTAAACATGACTTTCAGCATGGAGGTTAGGCAACTTTATTCATGAATAAACTCCTATCTTCCTGCCTAAAACTGTCAACATATTCTTTTGTTTATAGAGAATGTGGTCTTTTGCAAAATGAAAAGGTAAGAGACAAAAGCTCAGTAACACAAATTCAAACTCTGTTCCCTTGTACCCTCCCTAGTAAATATATAGACAACTGATACGTCCGTTTGTAGATGGATATCTGTGTTGCTTGGAGAAATGAAGAGTTCTGTGTCTAACCTTTCTGAGGGATAATGACTTACTCTGAGACAGAATACTGCCATAATTTCCAGCTCTAAATGGTTATTTCTTCTTTTGTTAATGTTCTTTTCCTCCCCTTCCCTATTCAAGGTTTGTATGCATAGTGTTTGTTTCTAAAAGTGTTTATTTATATGCTACACAAGTTATTTCACTGATGACCAGTTGCGCACCCAGTCCCTGAGCAGCGATCATGGATTTCACAGAAAAGGGTTGAACTCACAGAGAAGTGTTTCTGCCTTCCCCCTGCCAGCCAGCCCCCATTTATGTACTGAGCATGATGTCAATGGTATGGAATATTTGCATTGGCCAGCTTGGGTTAGTTGCCTGGCTGTGCTCCCTCCCAGCTCTTGTACACCTGCTCATTAGCCGAACGTGGGAAGATGAAAAAAGTCCTTGATTTCTTAGCAACAACTAAAAACATCAGTGTGTTATCAACATTCTGCTCATACTAAATCCAAAACACAGCAGCTACTGGGAAGACAGTTGGCTCTGTCCCAGCCGAAACCAGGACACATCTGAGGCCACCACGTGGTACAGAACATACTGGTTAGACATCCTCTGACCAAGAGTCAAAGGCGTGTTCCATAACCGGTGGTGGGGTGAAACCAAATGTTGGGTTATTTGTCCTTTCTCATTACAGAATATCTCCTGCACGTGTGGTTTATGTGGGATTTTTTCTGTTGCACAGGCTGTAATATAGCTGTTACTCCTAATTGCTGTGTTCTGCCAGTTCCCCTCCTCTTGGAACCTAAAGTCAGTGTCTCTTGTCTGTTCCTTGACTGGACCAGTATAAATCCCTCATGAACCTACTACGTAGAACCTCTGCCTTGCCAGTCATAGTACCCTCATCCACATGTCCAGTGCAGCTTTTTTTCTGAACTTTGGAAGAAATGTTGATGAAGCTTGAGGTTCTGGAATGTCTTTCTCAAAAGTCACCAGTAGGCTTGAGCTACAGCTGCACTGGGAGTCCACTGAGTGCCACTTCTTAGGAAATCTCAGGCTCGGAAAGGATTAACAGGTACCATGGCCCAGCTTGGCTTCTGCTGCTGGGTGAGAATGGCCTTGGTACCAGTTCAGGGTTTGGGGGATTTCTTTTTTCTGCTGCTACGATTGTCATTCGGCTTGTGCTGGACTGGTTCTTGTATACACAGTTTTATTCCCCTGTTCTGTCGGTCTTTTCAGAAATGGGACTCTGTTTTGTGCAGGTTTCATACGGAGGTGGTGCGGGTTGGTGCTGGGCAGATTGGCGTTTCGGGGTGGCCTGACACCGCGTGTGGGTTGGTGAAGATGTGACACATCCTTGGAGTAGCTCAATCTCACTGCTCTGAGAGTAGATTGTGTTAATACTGAGTTGAAGCCTGTTCTGAGCGCAGATTTCAGTCGTGGGATTCAGCTGGCACAACTGGTTTGAAAAGGACTCCGGCGTAAGCTCCCGCTAACATAATAGTGTAGTTATAACCACAGAAAATAGTTAACCCAGAGTTATAATGAACTTTGGTTTTCTTATTAATTGTTCTAAGTGGATAGCTAATAAGTCCACTCCTTCTTAGGAGGGGAGGAATTTTTTTTGAAGCAACAACCTGATTTTCTTTTGAGAGTTCCCTTGTAAATGGGTCCGTTCTGCCATTAATGGGTGGTGAAAAGGCAACAGCGAGGACCGTGTTATCTTTTATAGTTGTGCTGTTCTGGTGGCTGTCATATCCATGAGCAATAGGGACGTAAAACCCTTGGAATTTGTTCAGTGACAGTCTGTAGATTCTTTTTGTTTAACCTTCTTGCAGGTGAAAAAGGAATTGGCAAAACAACTGGAAAGAAGCTGTGTTACAAAGGCACTACGTTCCATCGTGTGGTTAAAAACTTCATGATTCAGGGTGGGGACTTCAGCGAAGGTAAGATGCACTTTTAAAGTGTTTTAAATGGAAACATTTAAATGAAAGTGTTTTAAATGGAACAAAAAAGTTACAATTTGTGTGGTTATAATGTAACTTTAGAAGATGCCATAAAAAGACTTTTTGCTGTGAAGTGTAACATAGATCACCCATTTCTTTGTTAATTTTTGAAATTCTAAAATGTGTTAACTGAAGTAATATTTGTTTAGAGAAATGTGGTAAGAAGAAAAACCCTCACTGGAGCTGATAACACGTATCTTACTAAAACAATTCAAATCCAGTTTGTAGCCTTAACTGCTTTTCACTTTTGTGTCTGCAGTAGAGGCAACGCTAGTAATGCTTTATTGATACAGGGACATAACTGTTTGAATACATTTAAAAATAATAATAAAGTAGTGAATGAGCTAGAAGTGTTCAATGGATAAGTCTCTAAAAGGAGATTTTCCTGGAGTTTTTGTTTCCTTCCCTGCCATGTGTGTACAACGTAATGTTTTAACCTGTTGTCCTTCCCTGCAATACCTGTCCTCACCAAAATGTGTAGCGTCTTTGCTCTGTCCTGAAGTTTTGTACCTGGTTAAACAGACGCGGTGAGGGAACGTCTTCTTTTCAGGGTCAAGCAGAAGTAAGGGTGCCTTTAAAACTGCGAGCTACTTTCTCATCTGTTCTAGTGGTCTCTCGGCTACTTTGAACCGGGCAAGATTGTTGGTTGTACCTACTGTTGTCTTTTATTTTTCTTTTTTTTTCTTTTTCTTTTTTTTTTTTTTTTTTTTTTTTTTTTTTTTTTTTTTTTTTTTTTTTTTTTTTTTTTTTTTTTTTTTTTTTTTTTTTTTTTTTTTTTTTTTTTTTTTTTTTTTTTTTTTTTTTTTTTTTTTTTTTTTTTTTTTTTTTTTTTTTTTTTTTTTTTTTTTTTTTTTTTTTTTTTTTTTTTTTGCTTGCTGTTATTTTGCTCTCTGCTGCTGCTTTAGCAAATACCGGGGAGGACTAGCCTTTGGAGCCCTGCTTCAGACTTTCCAGCGTTCAGGGGCAGTAAGGCAATCATCATTCTCAGTAGTTTGAGTGTCAAGAGGATAACGCACGGCTGTGACTTTTAATTAAGGAGCTTATGCTCAGATGCTAGTAACTGCCCAGAGTATCCTGGTTTGTTAGAAACTGGTGGAATGTTACATACGGCTTATTTTGATAAACGAAACAAAAGGTTTAATTCGTGCTTTTTAATGCATAGGTAATGGAAAAGGAGGTGAATCAATTTACGGTGGCTATTTTAAAGGTAAGAGGAAATATGTCTTTGCGGATTCTTTGTTCAGTTCTGAGATAAACAGTTTTGATTCCCAAGCTACTTAATGCAAACAGGTCTACTTATAGATCACCTTTTGCATGAAACTAATGTTGCATGAGAATTATTTTTATATGCATGACTTTCAGATAATTTTTTTTGTAATATTTAACTTTAACTGACAATTAATTAAGGCTAACATTATTGGTTAAACATGACTTTCAGCATGGAGGTTAGGCAACTTTATTCATGAATAAACTCCTATCTTCCTGCCTAAAACTGTCAACATATTCTTTTGTTTATAGAGAATGTGGTCTTTTGCAAAATGAAAAGGTAAGAGACAAAAGCTCAGTAACACAAATTCAAACTCTGTTCCCTTGTACCCTCCCTAGTAAATATATAGACAACTGATACGTCCGTTTGTAGATGGATATCTGTGTTGCTTGGAGAAATGAAGAGTTCTGTGTCTAACCTTTCTGAGGGATAATGACTTACTCTGAGACAGAATACTGCCATAATTTCCAGCTCTAAATGGTTATTTCTTCTTTTGTTAATGTTCTTTTCCTCCCCTTCCCTATTCAAGGTTTGTATGCATAGTGTTTGTTTCTAAAAGTGTTTATTTATATGCTACACAAGTTATTTCACTTGCAAAGAATTTGTAAATAAAAGTACATTTACCTCTTTCTGAAATCTGTTGTTGGAAGGACAATGGTGAGTTTATAGAGTACTGGTTTAAAGACATACAATTCTTTCTTGCAAAAAACTCAAGTAGTTACTGGGGTATTCAAGTGTTAATAAAGGCCCTGTATTTATTGATGTAACACCCCAGGTTATGTATGTTTTGCAAGTAGCTCGGCATGGTTAAGTGCATGTCATGAAGTTTGTCTTAACCAGAGACATAGTTTGGTGTTGGGGTATTACAGCCTTTAGTCAGAAGGAAGTCTTGAATAGATCCATTTGCTAAGAAGTTGCTAGGGTTTGTTTCTAAAGGCAGTTGAGTGCTAAACATGCATCATTGTGTTTTGATGTGTAATCTTAAAAATAATGGCTTTGTACACTCAAATTACTATGTTTAGCTTTGAAAATGAACTTCAGAAGATCTGGTTTTACATTACGCTGTACAACCAGAAGTGCTCTTTAATTCACTAGAATATAAAATGCATGTTTAGTTTAGTCTTAATTGATTTTATACTTAGTTTGCAGGACGAACGTGTTCTTTAGTTTCTCATTCAGGTATCTAGGATTTTTTTTTCCCTTGTACGTTTTGAGACTTCCAGTTTTGATTTGATAGGTGGCTATCTTTTAATGTGCCATACCAAGGAAATAGCTTTTTCTCTAGATCTTTCTACCTGAGGCACTTGCTGTGTAAATAGCAGTATCATGTATGTTAAGTCTTGTTTTAGGTTGTAAGTCTGCCAACCTTGTTCTTATTCAGAAAATGCTGGATTTAAATCCAAGTCTATAAGCATCTAATGTTTATTGAAGACACTAATAATGACTTCAGATTTTTTTCATTAGAAATGTTTGCACTATATTTGAAACTTTTTCTTTAAGAAAGAATGCTTTCTATCTCATAACTGCTTCTACAGTAACTTTTGAGAGGCTTGTTTGAACTTGTTTTTTGTGTTTTCCAACCTGTCTGTGTTTCTTCAGCAGCAGCAGAATTTCTCCTTATAGCATCCATAAGTCACTAAGAAAATTAGACTTGCATTCCTAGTCAGGGAAAATCTGACAAACATGTTTTTTCTTCAAACAGATGAAAACTTTATTCTCAAACATGACAGAGCGTTCCTTTTGTCAATGGCAAACCGAGGGAAACATACCAATGGTTCCCAATTTTTCATGTGAGTAGATGTAATACGACAGTTGAGCTTTTCTTAAGCAGAGAAGCGCTGTTCATGAGAAAGATGGTATTGCTAAATTATCTATAACAATGTTATCCATCCGCTTTTAAATAGCGTTGAGGGGGTACCTGCAGTGTAAGATATAATAGGAAATGTTAGTTATCACAATTTGCTTGCATTCATTTGGATTAGAAGCTAGTGTTACATGGATGTTTCTTGTTCATTGCTTTTTTTACTCTAAAAATACGGCTTATGCAGTAAGTTCTTGGTGTCCAGAAAGTAGATTCTTTGGCTTTCTGTGTGCACCAACCAAATCTTCACAGTTTATTACCTGCAGATTACAATGCTGAGCATTGTATGCAAAAGGGAGTGAGATCTAGAGGTGGTTTATATGGTTTTGCATGTGCTCTTTAAAATATGATGGTTTGTGATTTATTTTTGGGGTGATTTGGGTTTGTGGGTTTTTTTTTTGAGGAGGGGAGGGATGATGAGTGGGGGTTTTGTTTGTTGGTTTGGGTGTGGTTTTTTTTATTTTGGAGTGTTTGTTCCTGCAGACACTTCTGTATTGCTGCATATTCCTGTTTACTTGTGCGTATACCAACCTCTTTGGTACCAACACTATGTAAAATTATGTGCTGATAATCGGGTTTTTCCTTCATTACCTAAAAAATCCCCCCTCCCTTCTAGTGTGTACCATATTCTGTTAAATTGTAGAAGGTGCATGACTCCACAATCAATAGATACTCAGGTCCGATATGTCAGGGTCTTCTGGTTAAAGTAGTTGTGTTCTAGGTTCTGTATTAAACTTGCTAATTTTTATGTGATTATTTCTCCTGTTAACCCCCTTTTTAAAAATTGCCTTCTGTTAATTATAACAGTTTGTATTTGGAAAGATCTGGATTATAACTTTGGGCTTGTGCTGAGAAGAACTTTGTGAAATGATAGTGGTGTTTTCAAAAGTAAATTTTAGTGTAGTTATTTAGGTAGAAATACTGCTTTTTCTTTGCCATCTTTCTTGAGGGATAAGAATGAATGGCGCTTCACTGTCTTCAGTAAAGGAGTAAATCTCCTCGAGAATCTTTCTTTTTCTCTTTGCCTGAAAGATCTTCAGTATGATATGATGAAGTTCAGATAAGAGACATTTTTAGGTCTCTTCCTAAAGAATGCCCTAAAAATGGAAAATGAATAGGAACAGAGGAGGAAATTTTTCACAGTTACTGCTGTTCTGACTTTCCGTAGAGATTAAAAAAAAAAAACAATATCAAAGCACAAAATCAAAAAAACCGAAACTTGTTTACTTGTTTTCTGTTACTTTCAAACCAAATTTTAGATATTGTGCTTCCTTACAGGAAATATGAGTGGATATATGTACCCATTAATATGGAAAACAATCTATATAGAAAAAAACTTTGTGGTTTAATAAGCTCTTTGCAAGACATTGGTTCGCTGTTCATTACTTTGTGACTTATCTTTTGGTTCTCTTGTCATAATTTTCCATTTTTAAGCTTATCTGAACAATATACATGAAAACTTAACGATGTCACATCAGTCAAGAAGCTGTCATTTGAGGGCTCTAAAGTTTCTTTTCTCTCCTGCATTTGATTCTGAGGTCATCTGCTTTCCCTTACGCTTAGTAGACTCAGCTTACTTGTTCAGTTGATTTAAGAGATGAACACCTTGTCTCCCTCCACGCACCAAAGCAACTGAAGGTTGTGTTAGATGCTAAATTATAATTTACACGGGACAATAAAATGAACAGTATTTAAGAGCACTTTGATCAAATACAGAAGTATTTTGAAAGATGCAGATTTCCTCAAAACTGTTTTTTCCTAAAATCACTGTAAAGAGAAAGTGTTAGTTCGGTGGGAATTCAGGCTGAGTAAGATGCCTAAACGTAGTCATCTCCCTGTAAGCTAGATTCACCTCAGCTGCTTGTAGGAATCCAAAACCATTTTTAGGGTCCTGGGGTGTCCTGCTTGGCCTTCAGCTGCTGGGAGAGAAGGGTGTGGGTGTTATGAAGGTCCTATGTCCTACCTGCCTGCCCCATGCAGATCTCTTGGATGTCCTGTAGTGTCTTAAATGTCATCAGCTTGCCCTAGAGTCAGGCAAGCAAATGAAGCCCAGGAGTAAACTCCCAGTATAACTGATAAAGGTTCAGGTGGGCTGCTGTCGAAGTCTTCATAGCACGCGCTAATGCTCTAGACTTCTGTGACCCTCTTGACCAGGGCCTTTTTCATTTTACCGCATGCAGACATGTAATACTGTTTGAGACGCCATTGGGAACCCCAAGACAGAGCGTGCAAATGTGATGTGGCACGTACAAGACACCCTGCGCTCCTGGAGAAGCAGCTGGAAGCCGGGCAGGATGCAGCAGGGTGGCTCAGGATGCCCATGTGTTGGCAACTGAGCGTTCTCCCTAGACCTGACCAGCAGCTGGGATGTCTGGCTCGCTTGCAGATGCCTTTGCTGTATTCAAGTTTATGTGTTTAAGCTGAAGCCTGCCCTTGGCGTCCAGTAGTGCAGCTGATCCTGGAAAGGAATAGAATCGCTGAATCCCTACAGAAGCCACCGAGGCTGCTCGTAAAGGCAGGTGTGTGCGTGTCCAGGCAGTTGCAAAGTCGGGTTCCTGTTTGATAACTCAGTCTGAGCGTGGGCAAGGATGGATGGTGAAACGTGTAGTTCAACAGTCGTCTTGTGTAGTTGTTTAATGGTGGAACTTGGTTTCTGCTTCATAACATGGAGAGTTTGAATTTCGAAACTCAAAGTAAGAATCAGCTGCTAAAGCCTTTTTCTAGGGAGTTTCTGGCTGGTCTCTAAAATGCAGTATATTAAAGCAGTTAGTCTTGCTTGGTGACATTTGTCTGATTACTTTAGGGAATGTACTGTGCATCTATACAGCTTGTCTTCAGTAAAATATGTTTGTTTCCTACAGTGGTGTACTTTAAGCTGAAATTAAAATGTGTTCCTTAGAAGAATGTTTGGTTATTCAGTAGTTTGTCATTAGGAAAAATGTTCTTCAAATGTGTAACCTGAAGATTGTGTGAAAGGCTGTCTTCAGTGGCAGACTTTAGACTTTTTTTTTTTTTAATAGCTTGAAAAAGTTTAATTTCTGTTGCTTAGATTTATAGAGAGGGAAATCATTCATCTCCAGCTGAACATCTTTAGATGTTTGCATTTTTTCTCATAGATAACTTCAGGGATGAGAACTCTGTATTTCTCTATTGTACACATCTAATGTACCCGATAAGGAGTGCAAATAAGTTATTTTCTTTTCTATAAGTATTTGTCCAAGCAGGGCTAAAATAATAGCAAAAATCCTGACTGTAACAGTTTTGCTTGCTCATCAGAAGTGCTTTCCCTGCTGAGCACAGAAAACTGTCATTTGGAGTAACTAGTCTGTACAGAAAGTAATTAGGCAGCGAATATTCATTTGACAGACTGCACTAACACACTGGTCGCAGCAAGACTCTACGCAATGCCTAAAAATTGTTTCAAGCAGAGCAACAGAGGTCAGTTTGACTTGAAATAGAAGCTCCAGGCTAATCTTAATGTTAAACGAGCATCTGACCAATCCTAAAGAATCAGCTTTCCTTGATTCATTGGGAATTTCTCTGGCAGGAGTGAATTTGAAGCATTTGTAAGCAACGATAGAGAACGGGACACGGAAGAGACAGTGTAAGTATTGTTAGGAGGCTCCATGAGGCCAGCGTAAAAAGAATGAACATAAATTAAAGCACTGGTAGAAACTGGCAGGATGCAAAAGTGAACAGAGAATCAGAAGTGTGTGTGTACATAATGTCAGAAGTGCTATGTTTAATGCTCGTTGGCTAATTTTCCCCACTTCTTATTTTTTTTCTTACTTGATTAGGAGGAACAGTTGGATTGAAAGGAGAAAGTTTTTCATGCACAGGCACTTTAAATAGGCCAAGTCTATTCACGCGTGTGTCTAAAATATTTCCTAGTCTGAAGAAAAGCATCTTGTTGAAATCCAGCAGAAAGGATAGAGAGACTATCCCTTTAGAATGTTTGGATTTGTGAAGTGTTGGAATTTCAATTTTCTGTACCCAAAGGGATCTGTTGTAGCATTTTGTTGCAGACTTGCATCGAAGACAGTTGTGAAGTACCAGTGTGTAATTTAGCTATTTGTGTTTTCAGAGAGCACCACTATTAATTTGCTTCCTTTCTGTGAATAACTTCTATTAGAACCATCAGTTATTTAGCAAGTGTTCTAAACACCACCTGAGTGTGTTCATCTTCTTTTTAATTATCCTGTTTCCATGTTGGTACTCAGCTACAGAATCCCTAGGATGGGGTAGAGGTTGACAGCAACCGCTCCAGAATCATCTTCCTTTTTCTCCACGTGCCAGTATCTGTTCTGAACTGCTGCCGAAAAGGTTGTTGTTAGTTATTGGGGGAGTCCGTCTAGAGCATTGCACAAATATAGCTGATGACTTTAGGTCCCTGATTTAGCGCCGAGGGAGGGAGTAGTCGGCCTGTTCTTGGATGTTCCAGCTCAGTGGCTCTGTCACTTGTTGGGCGACGTTCTTGCGACGTTCTTGCGCGATGTGTTCCGCTTCTCAGGCGAGCTGAGCTGATAACGGTATCTCGTCTCTTTAGAGCGACTCCCTCGTGCCTGTAGCCACGGCTGACCTGCTAGGAAGGGAAGCTGCAATACAAAATAAGTGCAACTCATGTGAAAATGAGTATATGAAGTACTGTTTAGTGAGACTCCTGAGCCTACAAATGCTTGCATGGGCTTAGCTTTGCTTCAGTTGTCATACAAAATCTGTCAAGCTACGCTTGCTAGAAAAATAGAAGTGACTGCAGAGTGAAGCATAAAGAAAACAATAGAAGGCAAAAAAAAAGTAACCAGGCTCTTTGTTGTCATTGGGAAGTTTTGTGTAATAATTAATTTATGGCCTTGTTATTTAGCCGTGTAGTTTACTGAGGAAGACGTCCCTGTTACAATTTATTGAGGCTGTTTTACTGCTAGATTTGTTTTTTGTTTTTTTTTTTCCACATTGAGGGTATTGTTGGTTTAACGTGTCTCTTAAGCTCTGCTTTCATGCTCAAAACTAAATAGCTTTTTTGTTTTAATAGTATTTTTAATGTGTGGTGCTATGCCTAGTTACTAAATTCCAGCAAACTAACCACTTTGATCTGCTAAATGAAGGATAAAATAAATTGTCTTTTTTGTTTAGATTTTACAAATTATTTCTGGATGTTACCATCTTACTAAAAGTGGTTCCTTTTCTAAGTCTTTTTAGTGTCCCAAAGCAGGTATTTTTCTAATCAACAGTTGTGGTTTTTTTCTTACTGTGAGTGAGTTACCTTTGAGCGAGTTTTGAACAGTTGACAGTAGTATAAAAACCTAAAAATTTCAAGTGAAAGGGGTTGACACTACATTGTCTTTTAGCAAAAGTGGTATATGTGCACTGATCACACAAGCAGGTCCCAGAACTAATCGTTTATTTGGGAGGAAAAAATACAGATAAGCTGAGCGGATCATACAGTTTTAAAACATTGCTGCTGTTCAGAATTATACCAGAGCGAAAGAACGGTGTTAGTTGGTGCATTTTTTTGTCTTTTTTACATCTGCAGTATGTTTGTTTTTCTATAATTCTGAACGGGAGCAATCTAATAGCAACGCGCATAGTTTGGAGAAAACACTTATTTCTCTGAGTTGTAGAAAGGCTTCATAGTAGAAAGAAGATGTCAGCTAATGATGAAGCGTATGAAGCTGTAGCCTTACTGTCTTAACACATTTCGTATGTAAATGAAAATGTTGACGCTGCGGTGTGCCATCGTGTGAAGGTCCATATGTAGGACGGGATTCAGCAGAGCGTTTGAACACCTCCGTAACTGCAAGCACCTGAATAAACCCATTGAAATCAGTTATTCACTTGCTTAAAGCTACGTGTGTGTTCTGATGCTTTGGCTGGATGAAGACTTCGAGGGGAGCGGGAGGATTCTCTTTTCTAACCATTTCTCTTTGTGATGGCGTATGCAAGCAGGTTATGTCTATAGGTTTCTTTTTGGTTTTAAGGAGAACTTGCTGTAGTTTTCAAAGTACCTTGTATTCTAAAGAAAATTTAGAGCCCTCTTTTAGGCATCCTTGTTCTGCATACAACTTGATTTAATATTAATTTTAAACTTGTATTTAATAAAACATAGACTCAGTTTTGTCTGAAAATGTATTACAATTTATTTCTGCCATTTTTGTGTAAAATTTACAGAAACAGTGTTACATCGTGCGCTCCAAAGGTAATGTCTCATTCCTCTAAGGCTGTGTCCTTTCCTTTTCTTCTTTCTGTTTTTATCTTTCTTGTTTTTCTGATCATATTGTTATGTGCATTGAATCCTTTGTTAGGACTGAGGTTCTTGGGGGGTGGGCGGTAACGTGCTTTTGTCAAAAACATGCTTTTACCTTCAGTAGTCTCTTAAACCAATTTACTTTAAACTTGAGTGAAGAAAGGTATTTGTCCTTCTGTAAATAACTTGGATAATACTATATATTGCAAGGTGGATTTTGAATGTTTTAAATGATAAATGTTCTGTATAGAAATGTTTGAATATTGCTTAGGAGGAGGAACTCATCGTAACTCTGGGGTTCTGTAGCACAGAGGCAGCAAGCAGGTTTTCTCCCGGTGAAGTTACCAAGCCAAAGCAAATGTTCAAGGATTGAAAGGCAGAGCATGTGCAGAAAACTCTGAAGTGGTCTTTTAAAGTGCAAAGGCACAATGAGGAGCTGGGGTTCCGCTTCCTATAGGAAGTCTGTGGAGTCACCTAACTCCTTGTCAGGCATCCGAAAAGTTTTCTTCTCGGTTAATGCTTTTCCTTGTGTTTTCACTACATGAACAAGTGGATGAAAAAAATCCTGTGCGTTTCATCTATCAAACTGCCAGTGTAGTGAAAGAAACCTCTACGTGGGTTTTCATGTACCGGCTATCCCTTTCCTTACTGATTGAGGATTAGCGTAAAGAAAGGACACGCTTAGGTAATTTGCTGGATTGGTCTTCAAGTGCGGCTGCTGCATGGCAGGAGAGCGTTACTGCAGCGTTCCTATCAAGTGTGTTTCTAGCTAATACTAAGCACGAAGTCTTGTTTACTGTCGTTTTCATTGAAGTAAACCGCATCTATTTTTTCACTACTTTAAATCAGCTTTGTAGTTAAGCCCACTTAAACGTTTACTTAACAGCAGGTTGTTAATGTAGTTAACTTTTGCTTCTGGATCTTCAAAAGCCGTAAGAATTTTACTGCTTGTAGCAATATGTTATATTAGCGAGGGGAAAAAACCGAAGAACACCCCCTACTACTGAGAAGTGAAATGTCGTCTTGATAGCGTTTCTCTCCCTGTGTTAAGCCAGAGACATTTTCTGTGTTATTTAGCATTACAGAAGTGGAAGGTCTGGTTGGCATTTGGAGCTTAAAAAAAAAAATAATCAAGAGCATAAACACTCCTGATTTACAGTTCCAGCGTCTGGCAGGCGTTCCTGCACCGCAGTGCTGTGTGACCCGATAGTTCAGAACTCGAGTGAAGATACGTGCTTCAAATGTAGCATTTTATTATAGCAGTGAAAAACCGACTTATTGTACCACGTCTGTGGTGGTGTGCGGTTAGAAAAAGCATCTGTCATTTCTTACTTTGAGAGAGGGAAGGTAGCTGGAAGAAGGCTAGGAAGGCAAAATAGTGCCTGGGGAGGAGAGAGGAAGAATGTTTTAAAATATTAAAAGAACTTCAAATGCAAATTATCTTGACTTCTATTTTTTTTTTGCTCCCCCAATATATAAGCACGTTCTGATGTCCTTTACTGTATTTTTCCATGTAGCAAGGTTCCCTGTGCAACATTAATGCAGGCTTAGTTGTAGAAGTAGTTTTCTTTCCTTTTTGGAAGAGGATAGAGAGAGATACGAGGTCGTAGCATTCTCATCAACAAGGTGAATCCTAACACATAATTCTGTGTGCACAGCCTTGAATATTCCAGTTTGAAGTCAGCTCCGAAATCTGGCCGAACTCCACATGCCTTTTAGGCTGGCGTACGGAGTTAATCCAGCCGCATTGCTCCGGCAGGTTAGAAACAGGTGGGAAGCTGCAGAAGAGGGAGGGAGTCTGTGCTGGTCAGAGCAGTAAGCTGTGGGGTAGCGAGAACGTCTGCCGTTGCTGTGGGGAAGCCTGGTGAGCTTAGGAGCAGGAGTGCTGTAGTCTTGGTGGTTCAAGGCAGAGGTGTTGCTTTGTGGTCCGAGGCACGAGGCCAATCGAGGACACGGAGGGGGAAAAAAACCAGCAGGGGGAGGAAGCAAAGAATTTATCACGATAACTCTGTTGGGTTTTTTTTAGCAAACTGACTTTAAAGTGATCTTGTACTGCAAGAACCTAACAATTTCAGAAACATTTAAATTCCATTAGTTGCCCAATATTTATTGCCAAATTGTATCTTCTCTGTGACTAAAAATGTTAGCGAGTTATATTTGGATGTGAGTTTAAAGACAGTAATTTGAAGATTGTTTATTGCATGCATAGAATGATACTTGGTACAACTTTTAAGTATGCATAGTTAGCTAAACTTCAAAAAAATTTCATGTAAATGTTTAAAAAAGCCTGTGTGTATAATCTGTAAAGTTTTTTTTCAATTCCATGTGTGTAACTGAATTTTTTCACTATTTTTTGTCTTACCTTCACCTCCTTTTTTTTTTTTTCTATGCCATTCTTTTCCTTTACTTCATCTGAATCCCTGATTATTTTTTTTTTACCATCTTACCATCTTGCTGTTTGTCAAACAGAACAACAAAACCTGCTCCTCATCTCGATGGGTAAGAATCCTTTATAGTTTCTCCAGTGGTGGCTAAAATTTGAAGGTTGTAAGTCTTCACATGTTATTTTGAAAGCAGACAACAGTGGGGAAACAAATTCTTAATTCTCTGAAAGACTGGGCAATAGAATAAGATAAAGAGCAAAAGTTTAAGTTCTATAAATATTTCAAGTTGCAAATTATTTCCTAAAGTTGGTCAAAAACTTGGAAGGTCTTGAATCCCGACATTCGTTTCTTTAAAACTGGTTGCTGCCCTCTGTCCAATAAAGCAGTGAGTTGAAATGTCAAGTGTAATGTGTTTGGATAGTACTCTTTTTTTTTTATGTGGCATATTTTTATCCCCAAAATATATGAGTATATGTGGAAGTAGAGGTTATGGGGCAAATGGAAGAAGGACAGAGAAATGTGGTATGGTAGAACAAAACTGGGGATTCCTTAGTTAAAATTCTCCCTGCAATGCGAGTGGGAATTTGTATGCTGAGTTTGTTTACACTGATAAATTCTGCTTCTCTAGGGAAAACTGCACTTCTTTGTCATCTTTATATATGGACTCTTGATCTCTCTATTGCATGATATTTTAAAAATAGAAGGATGGATTAGAAATAATTATCTGATTATCCTGCCCATGTAGAAGAGAGTAAAGTGACATCAGATTGAACTGGAGTGGACCCCTCTTTCATGTCACATGAGACCTTAACATAGTTGTAAATGTAAAAATAATAAAAAGCTTATTTTTAAGTTTAATGTATTTTAAGAGTCAGATGATGCCATGGAAGCTGAATGTTTCTGTGTCAGAATGACTTTTTAAATCTGAAATTCACTGGAAAATAATTACAGCAATATATAAATGTTTGTACTTCCCAAATGTTTTATTTCTGCAGTGTTCATGTTGTCTTTGGACTGGTTATTTCTGGTTTTGAAGTAATAGAACAAATAGAAAATCTGAAAACTGATACTGCAAGTAGGCCCTATGCTGATGTACGAGTTATTGACTGTGGGGTGCTTGTTACAAAATCAGCAAAAGATGGTAAGCATACGTATACCTGAACTTCATCGAATTGCTTTCAGAGAGTATAAAAATTATGCCAGCATCTAGAAGTCAGTATGGTAAATCCCTAGAATCTTAATTAAATCTTACAAGCCTTTAAAACTTAGGTCTTGCTGTAGGTGAAGGAAGGCACAGCAAGGGAGAAGGTTTTCTGACCTAGACCTTTCTGCCTTGGAAAACATATGCCTGCTTCCTGTTCACCGTAATTAATACATGAGGTTAATATGACATCCTCAAGAAGTAATTAGAACTTATTTTTCTGAGTTTGGAAGCTGGAGATACAAACATAATCTTTTCTTGAAGTTGAATTTTGTGTGGTTTCCAAAAGTTTATTTTAAGATCGTATAACATTAATAGATGCAGTATATGTAGTTAACATAATTTTCCTCTTCGTGAGAATTCATAGGAAATAAATTATCTTAAAAATATGTTTGGACATTTGCTGTAGAGTAGCAGAGTGTTATTAGTTTGAGTTTTCTGCTTTGCTTTTGACTTTTCTTAAGGATAACGTGGTTATTTATGTCCTTTAGAGAAAGTCAAGAGGATAGATAATGTGTAAGTATGAGGATGCAGAAAGGAGAGAAAGACAAAGATTTAGAAATGAGACATGTACGGCTGAGGCTAACTCGTTCTTAAACTTTGTTCTGTAACCTGTGCATTGCTTTCTAAAGAAACTGATTTTTTTTTTTTTTTTTTTTACTGTGAATGGTCTTTGCTTATCCATGTGTTCTGTTCTAACCGAAAGATGTGAATTCAGTGTTATAACCTAAAATGCATTTTCAAAGGAGAAAAGCGGGGGAGCTCTCCTTCTTAAAATTATACTTACTCCTTAGCCTTCCTTTGTGTTAGCTTGGCACAAGTTAATGTTCAGCTTCAGTTATAAACTTACTGTTATTATGTTGTTAATACTGTGTATTAATTTAAAAATATTTTGGCTTTGCAGTGGTGTGTTGTCTTATATGGTGCAAGTTGTGCATGGAAGTTGTTACAGTTCATTGCAGCTGAAGGAATTTTTTTACAACTATCTTTGCTAGAAAATATTTGTATCATTTTATTGGTACGTGTATAGATTGGACACAATTAAATGACTTTTTATTATTGGACTTTAATGCAACTCATTGTGACAAAAGTTCCCAGAGCTCCTCTGAAGCAGTACACATGTGGATTTATACATATATAAAATTGTCTGGTTTGTGCTGTATGTATACACACTGCAAACGCATGCACACGTACACACTGTAAATATAAAATGTCTGTTTTAAGCTTTGGAGAAGAAGAAGAAAGTATGTTCTGATTCAGAAGCTTCAGACTCCTCTTCCAGTGCATCAAGCTCTTCAGAAACTTCATCTGAAAGTGAAGACGAGAATGAAAGAAGCAGAAGAAGAAAGCGTAAAAGAAGAGCTAAACCCAAACAATCCAGAAAGAGAAGAAAGGAAGAGAGGAAGAAAGAGGATCCAAGGTGCAAGCGAATCTCAAACCAAAGACGGTGACTAGTGTCTTAAATTTAAGAATTTCAGAGAAATCTGGGCAATTCTACTTTTTTTTCCCTTAAGTACTCAAGCAATGAATATGAAGGTGCTTTTATTCTATAAGTTTGGATTTTGATTTTTAAAAACAAAGCTAAACAAACATAAAAAGCTGAGCTTGTTGGGTAGCTTTTTCTACGAAGCAGCTCAAGATCTTTGTAGATAGAAGCTAGAGCGACTTTAACATGCTGAGGCTTACTTCAAAAGTATTTAGGGCTCAGTGTGCTTGTGTTACAGCGAGACATTAGGCAAGTAAGAGATCTTTGATTTATATTTTAAAAATAATTCGTCACAAACAGCTAATTAAAAGCAAAATTCTTTGCTCTAAAGCAAGAACTGACCCTTCTTTACAGTAACAGTGCACCATCCTTCCTTTAGCATAAAAGGAGTTGTTAATGAAACATGTTTTGGTTGCTAAGCCATCTTAAGGCTCAGTGCACTATATGGGCTTGTTTTGCGGTTTGCTTTGAAAAGTGGTGTTTATCAGTTGACAGTTAATTTTGATTTATCAATTTATTTTTCCCCATAGCAGCCTTTCTGACAAGAGTGATGTAACAGAAAAAGCAGTCGACGTTAGCACTAAGAGGGACAAACCTGTGGTACGTCCTGAAGAAATTCCCCCAGTGCCTGAAAATAGATTTTTGCTAAGAAGAGATGTGCCTGTTGTCAATGTAGAACCTGAACCGTAAGAATCATTGAGCTTTCTTATTATGTTGACTTGGTGGAATCTATGCATAAAACTTTCCTGCTAACGTTGTAGTGCTGGTACTGATAGCAGATGGTCGATGTAGTGTCGGAATTTCTGAATGAGGTAATTCAGTTCTCCTTTTTACAGTTTTCTTTGTAGTATTCCTTACAACACGTGTCAGGGTTTTTCAGCAAAATACAATGAGGTAGTTTCATTGATCCTTAAGGCTCATACATGTTACAGTCTTAAACTCAATTACAGATGGTGCGAAAAAATGAGTGAATAATTCCAGAAGACATTCTGCAATGTAAACCACAGCAACTATTTGATCACAAGGTGGACTTGATTGGGAGAGGCGATTTTTTTGTCTGTCTTAGACTGAAGAAAAAACTGTGGTTTGAAATCAGTCAACCAGAATTTCATGACCGAGCTGTGATTTTAGAGAATAAGAGAAAATACTTGTATCTTGCTAGAAAGGAAGTCATGAGTTCATAAGTTACTTTGTGTTTTGCACCTCTACCAAATTGCAGTTAGGTTCTTTTTCTACGAAATTTCTTTGCTTTTGGGCTCAGATGAGCTAGTACATTACAGAATCACAGAATGGCAGGAGTTGGAAGGGACCTCTGTGGGTCATCTAGTCCAGCCCCCCTGCCGAAGCAGGGTCACCCAAAGCAGGCTGCACAGGACCTCGCCCAGGTGGGGTTTGAATATCTCCAGAGAAGGAGAATCCACAATCCCTCCGGGCATCCTGTTCCAGTACTCCGTCACCCTCAGAGGGAAGAAGTTCTTCCTCATGTTCAGCTGGAACTTCCTCTGCTTCAGTTTGTGCCCACTGCCCCTTGTCCTGTTGCTGGGCACCACTGAAAAGTCTAGTCCCCTCCTCTTAGCACCCACTCCTAAGGTGTTTGTAAGATACCCTCTCAGCCTTCTCTTCTCCAGGCTAAACAAGCCCAGCTCCCTCAGCCTCTCCTCATAGGAGAGATGCTCCGGTCCCCTCACCATCCTCGTAGCCCTGCGCTGGGCTCTCTCCAGTAGCTCCTCATCTGTCTTGAACTGGGGAGCCCAGAACTGGATGCAGTACTCCAGATGGGGCCTCACTAGGGCAGTGTAGAGGGGAAGGAGAACCTCCCTCGACCTGCTGGCCCAATCCTCTGAATGCACCCCAGGATCCCATTGGCCTTCTTGGCAACCAGGGCACACTGCTGGCTTGTCATCCTCCAGGGTCAGCTTGTCATCCTCAGAACACCCAGGTCTCTCTCCACAGAGCTGCTCTCCAGCAGGTCTGCCCCGAGCCTGTACTGGTGCGTGGGGTTGTTCCTCTGCTGAACTTCATCAGGTTCCTCTCCACCCAACTCTCTAGCTAGGTAGCCGTTACATTGCCAGGTATCTCTAAAATCTGGTGGGTTTTTTTTGCATATCAGTTAATAGTATAGTGTCCAGTAAGCCTTTTCTTGAAATGTGATGTTACTCATGTTTCTGAAGCTGTAGTAACTGCTTCTTTCGAGGATATTATACAAACTGTAAAAAGGAGCGCGGAGTTGCCTCTTGCTGCTTCGGAGAGAAGCAAGGCTTTACAACCCGTGGAGTGTCATGAGCTGCCCGTTCTCTATGCTACGACGACGTATCGACTGAGATCCTGACGCTGTTCTGTCCGTGTTGTTTTCATGATTTGTCCACGAAACACAAGTTAACTTACCACTTTAACGGAGTACTTTGCAAGGTCGTTGTTACATTTACACATAGAGAGCTCAGTCTGCACAGTTCATTGATATCCAGTGTATGTTGATTTGCCTTTTGTGCAGAACCCTGTGTGTCATGCTTTATATCTTGGAGAATTCACTGAATTGTCAGTTTTCTCATCTCAAAATAAACTAATGAGATGAATAAGTTTTTTCTGTTGCTTACATGTAAGCTCATATTTTATTAATTTATGTAGGAAGCTTCTTGATGCTGCACCAGTTCTGACTGACCAGAAACCGTCGGTCTCTAAATCCGGACGAAAAATTAAAGGACGAGGCACAATAGTACGTGACAATTTTTTTCTTTTTTTAATCTTTCCTCTCACCCAGAGTATCTTCTCTGACCTTGAGCTTTGAATTTCCTTGGAGGCTTTCTGTGACAATTTAACTGTTGTTGACATGTTGTAGATTCTAGCTTCGAAGGTTGAAATATTGTTGTCAGGTAGTTCATTTTATAATGCACTTTTTTTTCCATTCTTCTTGTTGCTGTCTTCACTTAAAGTTTGCTTGGGAAATCAAATGCTTACTCCTCAGCAACGAGAAGTCTTCAAACGTAAGAATGAAATTATTTCGTTTTAAAGATTGAAATTAATTCAGCCAGCTTTGTCCCACGTGAGCCACAAGATCTGAAGTAATGAGAAGTGACAAGAGCTTTTACTCTTCTGCACTCGTTGGATTTCCTTGCTGTTTCTGTTAAGCTTTGGGACAGTAACGCGCAGCAGTAGACAAAGCTGGTCCGCAGCGTCCTGAGCGCGTGCAGCCCTTTCTGCTGCGTCGTGCTTCTCCTCCTGTGTTCCGGTATTCGCCTCTTCTGCTGGTTGTGCGTACGTTGCTGAGAAACAACGGGTTTGGTGGCGACGTTGGCAAAAGAACTGTTTTGATTTTTGACATTCAAAGTCAGCTTTCGTTTTCTTTTTTTAGCTACTTAATGTAGTTTTATCAGATTTCATCAGCTGTCCTGGCTGAGATGAGGTCCGTGTAATTTCAGAGGTGACGCTGCATGGGTAGGAGGTCACTTCTTTGCAGTCGTAGTGAAGCATTTTTACAGATGCGCAGGCTCGGTCTTTTTTTTTTTCTACCTTCCCCTCTGAAGACTGCTGCTGCTTATGCATATTTCTCCAAATCTTTGGTATCCTGAAGACTTGCTTTTGCCTTAGTTCTGCTGTGCTCAAGGAAAAGTTTTCTTAGAAGTCTGTTCTCTAATAACCCACAATACAGGGCCCAAAACTCTGTGCAGCTGCACTGTTGTTTTTCAGTCAGTAGAAGAGGGAGAAATAAGAAAAGCTTTCGTAATTGTGCATTTGATTCTGATGCACTTCAAACTGTAGCATACCATGGCTGAGCATATTCTTCGCTTTTAGAATGTTTTCCTGGATCAATTTAGCAGGTGGCATTTGGGTAACCATAAACCAAACCAAGGCTTGATCCTGCCAAATTTTTCTGCAAGTGAAGTACTTAAAAAAAAAAAAAAAAAAGCAAAATTTTTCGGAAAGTGAAGTCCTAAAAAAAAAAAAAAAAAAGCTTCTACAGAGATCAATATCTGTAGAGCTGAAGACACTTTTCATTAGAATGGTCTTAACTGAGACTCCTCTGAGCATGATTTTCTTGTGATACCTAGTGGATTGAGAAGGACTTTTCTACTGATCCTCACAGGGCAATTAAAGCCACAAAATTAATGGCTTAGGTGGCCCTAGCGTGGACCAAGATATTGCAGTGTTTGAGCCTCACCTGAGTACCAAGCCTTGTTTGCCAGCCTTGGCGTTAAATCTGTCTTTGCTGCATCTGATAGCTTTCATGTGATGCTTGTGATGTCCACTAAAGGAAGCCTTTGAAACAGAATGTTCTGAAATATTTATGTAAATAAAGACTTTTGGAAAACCAGCTTAAAGCAGAGTGGAATTGGCTTTTGCCAGGGATTTGGGTGTGTCTTGTTCTTCATATTTTTGACACCCTCTTGGCAAAGCTAAGAACGAAGACCAGTAATTTGAGAAATATTTTAGGGCTAGCAATTAGTTGGAGAAACGCATTTTTCTGCCATTTCTAATCATCTGATTAGCAACATTTTTTTTTATCCAGAGTGAACTTGTTTGACGTTTCAGAATCCTCGTTTGCAGTTTTGAATCCTCTCAGGTTTTGAGAGATCCCTGACCATAATATGAGAGAGTTAGGGAGGTCCATGAGACCTTCCTAGCCTGTTATATACCATTCAGCGGTAAAAACTTTTATTTTAAGTAAGCACTGCTTCAGCTCAAGTGATAGGGAACTCCCAAATCATCATGGCACATTATGTTTATTGTTTTTGATATAAACAGGATGTGTTAAGGACTTCTGCCAGTAATTAACTGAATAAACCATACATGCGTCTTTCTGGTTTTATTCTGGGGGGGCAGTTTTTTTTCGTTCCACTTACTGCTTGTTTTTATAAATGGCTCAAAATAATTGAGTAAGATCCAGACATTTTATCTTTATTGAGTTAAGGAGCATCTAATTTCCTCACGGAATTTACCTAAGTGCGTATCCAACTGAGTAACAGAGAATGAGTTAGCAATATTGGAATTATTTCTCCGCTGCACAAGTAGCTCTCATTGCCTACTTAAATGCTGTAACTAAGCATAATTTTTTTGAAGTGTGAAGCTTCATTACACTTTTGTGAAAGATTTTTTTTTTTTTTTTTTTGCTTGGAAGGTTTCTTAAACCGGGTTCCCTCTTCTGAAAAGCTGAACAGAAGTAGCTTTTGAAATAGGGCTTGTCTTTACTTATCCAAGCAGTGAAGTGTCTGCTAACTGAAGTGAAACTTCTGAGTTTTAGTATCCTTGAAAAAAAAAGTTGGTTGTCTGCAGTAATTGTGTTACTCCAAAAGGTGTTATATAAAGGAAATCCATGCCCTCTTCTTGATTCTTTCTTTACATTTTGAAAAAAATAGGTTAGCTTAGCTGCTGACCCCACTCAAGCTTTGTGAAATGCTCTCAGACTATGAAAAGATGCAGTTAGCGATGTAATCCAGTCTCATGTGCAGGATATATGTATGCCAAAAGTGGGTATTTTTGGCAGGAAATCTAGAAATTGTGTTTTCTTCGTGGACTTTGTGCCGATAATGTTGTCTGGTTTGTGTTATGAAGATGTTCGCAAAATTGTATGAGGCACCATGCATTTTCTATATTATCCAGTCTCTTACAAAGAAGAATATATTAAGCAACTGTCTGTCTTCGCTTTCATAGCGATACCACACCCCACCTCGATCACGATCGTGTTCTGAATCTGATGATGATGAGAGCAGTGAGACCCCTCCTCACTGGAAGGAGGAAATGCAGAGATTACGAACATACAGACCACCCAGTGGAGAAAAGTGGAGTAAAGGCGATAAGTAAGAGCCTTAATACATATTTTAAATATCTTTAGTTTTTTACACAAGCTTTAACAGATTGTGTAGGTGTACCATGTTATTCATGTTTGAATAAAAAATGTAAATATTTTTTTGGTTAACACATTCCATTTAAATTTTGAAAATTAGAAGTGGAAAACTTTCTTAAAACCTTCATAGTTTGCTAACGTGACACCAGATGAACACACGCTGAGAAGTGCCAGAAGGTCAGAAGGGTTGTTTCTGATTGTAGTGTCTCGGATACTTATTTAAAGAGTAGTTAATTGACCTGTCCAGTTTCCTCTTTCTTTCCGTACAGCTAGTCACATCAGATTCCCTTTATACTCAAACTTGGTTAGATGGTTTCTTTGGATACCAAGTAAGACAACTGAATCTACCAATCCTATACTGTTTTATTTATATGTTCTTTCTGCAATTCCAGGCTCTGTGATGGAAGCCGGCTCTTCAAAATCCCTAATGTTCAGCTTGTATCAAATTCCTAAATATGAGCTTGTATGAAATTATGGTAGATAAACCCCAAAAGGAAAAGTGAAGAATATTATGTATAATCTTTATTGACTGATTGCAAGTGTTTGTGATAGTTCTTTTTATATACTGAGTGCATTCAGTTTATTGCTGTATTGCAGTGTAGCAGCTAAATGAATACTAAATAAGATGATGGTTTAAGAATCCTGTAGTGGTAGAGGTCAAAGTCCTGTGGACTAGGATAGTTAGAACTTATGTAAAGAGACTTAGTGTTTTACAATATGCAAAATTTTCTGATGTTGGCTCGTTCGTTTCTTATAGAGAAGTAGCTTTGTTGATAGTGGTGTAATTCCACGTCTTAAAACGCATGTAACAAAGTCAGTCAAAGCACAATTGTTTCGTAGGAAAGCAAGGGGGAGGGTTTTAAGATATTTATACTTAATTGCATTGGAGTTGGGAAAAATACTTTGTTTATCTGACATTTTTAAAGACTTTCTGCTTAGTGTGGGGCTTGCTTGTTTGTTTTTAAGGTTGAGTGACCCATGTACAAGCAGATGGGATGAAAGAAGTGTGTCTCGGAGATCAAGGTCTTGGTCACATAACGGTTATTCTGATTTAAGTACTGTGAGATATTCCAGCCATCACAAAAAGCACAGAAAAGAGAAAAAGAAGGTGAAACATAAAAAGAAATCTAAAAAGCAGAAGCATTTCAAGAAGCACAAGCAGACAAAAAAGAAGAGAACATCAGCCTCATCAGATGTAGAATCCTCTCATTCCTTCCTCAGGAGGGCAAAATCATCTTGTGATCGTGAGAGGAAATCTCGTTCTTCTTCGTTGTCTTCTAGACATTCATCCAGAAGAGACTGGTCTAAATCTGATAAGGAAGACCAGAGCTCATCAACTTTATCAAGCAGAGGGACTCGGTCGTATTACAGGTCCCGATCCAAATCCAGATCTAGGTCTAGATCGAGATCTTATTCCCGAAGAAGTTCTAGATCAAGATCAGCCTCTAAATCATCACGTTCTCGAAGTAGGTCAAGGTCAAGCTCTAACCCTAGGCAGCAAAAGACAGTTCCCAATTCTCCACGAAATACTTCAACACGATTAAATGAAAATAAGTTGAACAAGACTGCTGAGCCTGTAAGAGCAGTTATACTCCCGAGTGAGAAAGTTGTCGTTCCACCAGTTGTCCCAGAAAGCCTCCCTGTTATACCCTTAAGTGATAGTCCACCACCTTCAAGGTGGAAACCTGGGCAGAAACCATGGAAACCATCTTATGAGCGAATTCAGGAAATGAAAGCTAAAACAACCCATTTAATACCCACACAGACTAATTACAATTTAGTGGTTATTAAAGAGGCTAACACTTCTTCCTCATACTCTAAGCGACAAAGGAGTTCAGATAGCGATCGAAGCGGTTATTCCAAAGATCGTAGCGACAGAAGCTCAGATAGCTGGCAAAGATCAAGAAGCAGGTCCTCTCGAAGCAGGTCATACTCAAGATCTTACACGAGATCTAGAAGTCCGTCTAGCTCTAGGACAAGATCTCGTTCTTCTGGCAGATCACCATCACTGAGTAAATACCGCAGTGATAGGTCAGGTTATAGTGAGTCGACATCTTATTATTCCCTTAGTGATGATGACAGACACAGAAACAAAAGAAAATCTGCATCAAATGATCAAAAAGCTCGGTCTGTTAAACTGAGGCAAGAAACAAGCTCTGAAAGTACTCTCCCTTATAAGCGTGCGAAAGACTACGATGAGTCTTCACAAGGGCTGAAAGAGAGCGACAGTTTGTCGTCTTCAGACTTCTCTACTGACAGTGAGCGTTCTGCCAAAATCAAAGTAGCCCAAGAAAAAGATCGTTTTCAATTGGAAGGAGATACTCAGAAACAGGATAAAAGTAGCTTAAGTTCCGAGAGAGGGGAGGAGAAATCCAAGAGTGAACGAGATTCTGACCATGCTAAAAAGAAAGCAGGTAAGGAGAAATCTTCTAAGCAACCTAGAAGTGGTGCAAAAACTAGACGAAAATCCTATTCAGGTAGTAAATGGGACTCTGAATCAAATTCTGAACGAGGAGAGGCAAGGCATAATAGGGGCGATTCCAGGCCCTCCTCTAGTAAAGAAGAAGGCGAGGCCACGTCCGGATCTGATACAGAGCTTAGCGTTACCAGAAGGATAAAAAAACAATCCAACTCTTCCGAAGGCTTGCTGGATTCTGATCGTACGTGGAAGACGAGCAAGCAGGTGTCATCTTCTGAATCTGACAGTTCTTGTTCCAGCTCAACAAATATTAGAGGAAAGTCAAAGAAGCAGAAACTGGGATCGAAAAAAGCTCTTAAAAAATCACATTCCAAAAAAGCAAAAGAAAAATCAAAAGAGAAAAAGGAGAAGAAACACAAAGTTCAGAAAAGAAAAGAAACGTTTCACTGGCAGCCCCCGCTGGAGTTTGGTGAAGAAGATGATGATGAGATAAATGAAAAGTCGGTTACCAAGGATGAGAAAAAAGAAAAACATCTCACCAGGGACGTCACAGATGAAAAACAAGTTTGTCAAAAGGGTGAAATAGCCAAGGATAAAATGGGAAATGGTGATAAGTCTTGTGCGGATGAAAACCTTTTAGGTAAAAACACTACATGTGATGCCTCACCAGACTGCAGCAACCTTAATAAAGATAGTGTTGAAATAAACGCTTCAGCTACTGTTTTAAACTCAGGAATAAATGTGACTGCTTGCAAGACTGAGATTAAACAAGCCGAAGAAAGTAACCAGAATGGATTGGAAGATGTTATTCAGACAGATGACAACATGGAGATTTGTACTCCAGATCGTAACTCGCCAGGGAAGGTTGACGTGGAAGTTTTGTCTCCTGTCCTTCTCCCTGCTAAACCTCAGGCTTTAAGTGCTAGTATAAACAAAGATGTACAGGTTGAGACCTCTGAAACAGATACTGTCAAACTAGGAAACAATATTATAGACTTTATTAACATGAAAGAAGAAAAAGAAATGGGAAGGCAGGAAAATAACTCTGTCCCTGTGTCTTGTGCTAAAGACTGTAGTTTAAAAAGTGAAATTACTGAAAGCACACAAAGCAATGTGACAGATAATAAATGGAAGCCTTTGCAAGGTGTTGGTAATTTACAACCAGCAGCAATTAGTACAGCTGCAGAAGCGAAGAACATAGGTTCAGCACCAGAGCCTAAACCAGCAGGTTTAAGAATTGAAATAAAAGCTAAAAACAAAGTAAGGCCTGGATCTTTGTTCGATGAAGTCAGAAAAACAGCACGGCTAAATCGAAGGCCAAGGAACCAAGAAAGTTCCAGTGAGGAAGAATCTCCAAGTAGAGATGACAATAGACCATCTAGGAGTCTCAGTAGGTCACGAAGTAAATCTCAATCGAAATCCAGACACAGAACAAGGTCGATATCTTACAGTCACTCAAGAAGTCGATCACGAAGTTCTACATATTCATACAGGTGAGAAGTTTGTGCTGTTTCTGCAGCCTACCATGGTAACTTGAAAGCTCTGATGTTTTTAAGGTGTGTTTTTCACAGAATCACAGAATGGTAGGGGTTGGAAGGGACCTCTAGAGATCATCTTGTCCAACCCCCCTGTCAAAGCAGGGTAACCCAGAGCAGGTTGCACAGGACCTCGTCCACGTGGGTTTTGAGTATCTCCAGAGAAGGAGAATCCACAACCCCTCTGGGCAACCTGTTCCAGTGCTCTGTCACGCTCAGAGTGAAGAAGTTCTTCCTCATGTTCAGACAGAACTTCCCATACTTCAATTTGTGCCCATTGCCCCTTGTCCAGTCGCTGGGCCCCACTGAGAAGAGTCTCATCCCATCTTCCTGACACCCACCCTTCGGATATTTAGAGGCATTTATAAGGTCCTGTCTCAGTGTTCGCTTCTTCAGGCTGAAGAAGCCCAGCTCCCTCAGCCTTTCCTCACAGGAGAGATGCTCCAGTCCCCTCATCATCTTTGTAGCGCTCCGCTGGACTCTCTCCAGTAGCTCCTCATCTTTCTTGAACTGGGGCGCCCAGGACTGGACACCGTA